GGAACCCCGTCTCTACTAAAAATACAAAAAAAAATTAGGCAGGCCTGATGGTACATGCCTGTAGTCCCAGCTACTTGGGAGGCTGAGGCAGGAGAATCGCTTGAACCCAGGAGGCGGAGATTGCAGTGAGCCAAGATGGTGCCATTGCACTCCAGCCTGGACAACAAGAGCAAAACTCCAACTCAAAAAAAGAAAGAAAGAAAGACATAGTATCAATTTTTTGCATACCCTTCCAGGTATAGGGGGACATTAAATAATCTATATTATGAGGCCAGTATAACTTGTTATATCTGACAAGAATATTATGAGAAACAAAAATATAGGACAAGCTCACTGACAAATATCCTAAACATCACATTAGCAAACCAAATCTTAGGACAATTGTGTAGAAAAAGGTTAACATAGCAGATTTGACAGCTATCTTTTAGAAGACCTGCTATGAGGCTGTCAGATATCTGAGAACTTAGATTTTGGGAGTGTTCCTAAACACTCTGATAATACTGACTCACTGAGCTTAACTACTGGCACAATCAATGTGGTTTATGCTCTACACCTGCTTTCCTTCAGGTAGTCTGGGACTTTGGTTCATGCTAGGCAAAGGATGCCTTCATGACCCACCCGTCCTCAATATAATCCATGGGCACTGAGTCTACTGAGTTTCCCTGGAAGGTAACATTTTATAGGTGTTGTCACAACTCATTGCTAGGGGATTAAGCACATCCTCTGTGACTGCTCCATTCTAATAAAAAATCTCGGTAATTTCTTTAGTTTTGGAAAGGGTAAATTAAAAATACCTACAGAAAATATAATACTTCAGAGTGAAATTTTGAAAGCTCCTCTATGACTGGAAACAAGACAAGGATGCTTTCTATCACCACTATCAACATTGCATTGGAGATCCCAGCAAATACAAGAAGTTATTTTTATAATAAATTTATTGAGACAAAATTCACATACTATAGAATCCAACTATTTAAAGTATACAATATAGACGATATAGAAGAAAAAGATACAGAAAGATAAAGGATTATAAAGAAATGAAACTGTCATTATTTGCAGGTGATATAATTACAAATGAAAATCCAAAAGAATTTACAGATAAAATATTAGAATTAAAAAGTGAGTGTAAGCTGGGTGTGTGGCTCATGCCTCTAATCCCAGCACTTTGGAAGGCCAAAGCGGGCAGATCATTTGTGGTCAGGTGTTTGAGACCAGACTGACTGACATAGTGAAACCCTGTCTCTACTAAAAATACAAGAAAATTAGCCAGGCGTGGTGACACATGCCTGTAGTCCCAACTACTCAGGAAGCTGAGGCAGGAGAATTGTTTGAACCTGGGAGGCAAAGGTTGCAGTGAGCTGAGATTGCGCCACTGCACTCCAGCCTGGGTGACAGACTGGAGATCTGTCACAGTGGGAGATTTTAACATCACTTTATAAATTAGTGATATAACAAAAACAATTCCAAGATAAGTTAAAAATGTAGATTTGAACAACAAGATTAACAATGCCCAACGATTGCAGAATGCATATTCTTCTCAAGTACTTCTGTAATATTTATGAAAATTTGCCTTATTCTAAGCCAAAAAGCAAGTTTCAATACCTTCAAAAGGACTAAAATCAGACATAGTATGTTAACTGATCACAATGCAATAAAAATTGATGAAACAAAAATAAATCCCCCATGTCCTGTAAGTAAAATAATTATGTTATTCACAAGTCAAAAAAAAAAAGTCACAATGAAGATTAGGAAACATTCTGAGCTCAATGTGGAGTGCAAGTCAAGATAAGCTTAGAAATACATATATAATGTTAAATGCATATATTATCAAAGAAAAGAAGCTAAAAATCAATATACTAAATATTCATCTAAAGATGTTAAAAAGATAACAGATTACCCCCAAAGAAGAAATAATTAAATAATAAATGAAATAGTGAACAAGCTAATGAAATAATGAAGTACTTGACTTTTGCTTTGCTAATCTTCACTAAACATTACCCCAAAAGAAGAAAAAATTAAATAATAAATGAAATAGTGAAGGAACTAATGAAATAATGGAGTACTTGACTTTTGACTTTGTTAATCTTCACTAAACAAACATTAGTGAAGATTAACAAAGCCAAAAATTGTCTCTTTGAAGAGACTAATGAATTGGTAATTTTACTAGTGAAACTGCAGGCAAAAAAAAAGTGAGAGAAGGCACAAATAATCAGGAATGAAAAAGGGCACATGTGACTACATAGCTAAAGATATTAAGAAGATAAAAGACTATCATAAACTTACGCCAATACATTTGGAAATTAGATACAGTGGTCAAATTCCTAGAAAAATAAACCTTATCAAAACCGGAAAAAAAGAAAATATTAATATGATTTAATTCATAAAACATTCCCCCAAAGAAAATTTCCAGTCCCAAATGCTTAACAGGCTAATTCAACCAAACATTTAAGAAAGGAATAATGGCCAGGTGTGGTGGCTGACATCTGTAATCCCAGCACTTTGGGAGGCCAAGGTGGGCGGATCACCTGAGATCAGAGGTTCAAGACCAGTTTGACCAACATAGGGAAACCCTGTCCCTACTAAAAATACAAAATTAGGCCAGGTGAGGTGGCTC